GAAGATTTATACTTGTTTAATTAATGTCAAATGTAGTTTACAAACGGGAGTGACAAGTACCTCTTTGTATAATATACACCGACACACAATCATCGACACACCGGAATATCGCTTTGTGCAACTGGGATTCTTTGGGCAAAGATAGGTAACTCTGATATTTCATTTTTTTTTTTTTTAAAATCATTTAAACTCATTACAGAAGAGGGGAAGCAGCAGATGCATGTTACAAACCGGGGTGCCTCTCTCCCCAGCCTTCCCCCTTCAGCCCCCCCCTCTTGAAAACAGGAGATGGCTTTACAATTAAAAAAATAATAAACAAACAAACAAAAAAACCCCAAAACAAAGAACCAATGCCTAGTTACATATGGTTTTACACATACGTACATAGAGCACACGGCTGGTCCACAACACTGCCAGAAAGCCTGGCTCTCTCCTGGGGTCTATTTCCAAGGAAGGGCTGGGGCGGGGGGTCCTGTCCTCTCCCCCTTCCCGGCTGCCTCTCAAACCCACCCACTGCACCCTCTCCAAGTCCACCTCTGACACCCCAGTGCCGGCACCCCGGCATTGCAGCCTCGGCTGGGTGACACTTGCAGCCCAGCTGTGCCTCCCCCAAATTTTTCCCCCTTTACAAACCCGGACCAAAGTCCTGCGTGCCTACCCTTCCCCTGCTCGAGTGCTGCTGGCCAGAGGGTTACCTGGCAGTGACAGCCCACCGCTGCAGCCCCTTCCCCTGCCCGCAGCCTCCCCAGGGAGGCAAGACCCTCCCGGGGTGCCCCGGCTTCCCCTGGTCCCCGGGAGCTCTGCAGGGATGAGCCCTCGAGCGGGGGAGGCTGCAGCTCTCTTCGGTCAGAGGCCACCACGCTGTCATGAGCTTGGAAACCTGGGAAACTCTCAATTAGGAATTGTTGCCTTTTGCCGAGATGCTTATAAAATACAGCTCCTTCAACTTGGTTTGGTTTTTTTTGAGTGCAGTGGGATCCTTCTGAAATCACTCGGGAGAGGCCGAGGACAGCAGCTGCTCACCGCAAAACAGCATCAAGCTCAGGGCAGAGGAATGGTGATGGGACCGTCACCCCTGGGGCACCCTGCCTCCCCAGCCCTTCCCTCTCCAAACGGCCCCGGCAGCCCAGCAGCACTGGGCCCCAGCTCCGGACTCCTCATCCACTGCTGTTTCCAGACTGTCTTAAAATGCCCCAGTCACGCTGTGCTGCCAGGTGGGATCTGCTTGGAAAGACCCTGCAGGAGCAGGGGGAGATGAACTTCCCCATCTCCCCGTCTTCTGGCTTCGGGGAGCTGGCACCCCGCAACTGCCCGGGGAGCCGGGGCAGGGCTGCACGGCGTGGGGCTGGGAGAAGTCAGCACACAGGGCATGCCTTCGCCTTGGGAAATGGATCAGTATCTGTTTCTTGGGTCCTGAAAATAAAAGAAAAATCAACAAAAAAACAGGCCAGATGGCAGCTTTGGTTAAGGCTGAGGATACGGGAGACAGGAACAAGCATGAGGGACTGTGTGGAAGAAGCTGGGGCTGCGGGGAACCTCTGGCTCCGGCTAGAAGCGTCACTGCTCGCCCCAGCCTGTGGGCAAGCCCTGGGGGTGGCCGTGGGGACGAGACAGGGCTGGGTTGGCTCTCAGCCCCAGTGCCAAAACCTCTTTTGCAAAACGCAGGCTCCAGGAGAGCGGGAGCTGGGGGCAGCCGGCACAGGGCAGGGCTGGCTCCGCAGGGCTTGTGCATCTCTGCCGGGCCGCGCCGGGGCCCGCTGCAGCCAGCACCGCGAAGGAGCCGGCCCAGCCTCTCCGGGCAAAGCCACCAGCTGTGCCCTCCGTCCCCTGCCGTCCCTCCCCGTGCCCACCGCTTCCCCGCCGTCCTGCCGCAGCAGCGGGCACCGGGAGCAGCTCAGGCAGCCTCCGCCAGCAAACACTGTCCGGAGGGGAGGGAAGCAAAGCAAGGCAGGGGCAGAGGCAGGGGCAGGGGCTACAGCCCTGGGGGAGGCAGGAGGGGGTCAGCCGGACCCTCGAGCAGGCGCTCCCGGCCGGGGGAGAGGGCAGCGCTCTGGCGGGCTGCCTCCCTCCAGCTCCGCACCGTTTGCCCCTTCCCCAGCTGGGAAAGGCAAAGGGGGCTGAGCCAGATCCCCCGCCCTGCCCGGTCCCCCGGTGAGGAGTTAAAAGCCGTGTCTTTCCGGGGATAACGATTCTATTATAAATAGCCCCATTAGCTACAACTAATGACAAAAATCCACCTCCTCTACTCCCCATAAGTTCCGTAAGTTATGGGCAATGCTACAGCCATTACTAAAAGCTGTTAACTTCATATCTGAATGAGGAAATATACACCACAGAACATTAAACCATTTATATTATATATATGTATATATATACTTTTTTTAAACTAATGACTTTAATGCCAAAACTTTGCTGAACCAAGAAAAATATGGGTTTAATGTTCTCTGCTCATTTTTTTTTCTTCTTTAAAAAAAATACAACCCAAAAAAAAGAAAGGGAAACTTATTAGTATGTAATGTTTGAGTCTATCCCATTTATACACAACATTGTAAACATATATAATCTATATTACATGTGCTTCATTTCTGCCTGGGTGTGTTTTTTTTTTCTTTAAACCTTTTTTTATCACTAGAACACCACAAAAAACCAAAACAGAACCAAACCAAAAACCAAACCAAAACAAATAAAAACAAAACAAAAAAAACTGAACAAAGAACACAAGTTACAGGTTATTTAACATCTTTCTGTCAAGGGTCCCTTCCCCAGTCTCCTGGGGGCAGAGTGGTCAACAACACAGTCCAAAGGAGGGCTCACGAGCCATCCGCGATGCAAAGCCAGCTCCAGGGAACGGGTGAATGGGGAATACTGGTTTTAAAAAAGGGGGCTTCACAACAAAGGGTTTGGTTTTGCCCGCTGCAGATGCTGAAGGAGGTCTCAACACGCGGGACCTGGGAGCTGAGGCTCCCCACTGCTCCTGTATCCTCGAGTCCATGTCTGGAGTCTCTGGTTTGTTGTTGGTTTTGTTTTTGTTTTTGTTTTTTTTTTTACATTTTAAAACGTCTTTTTTTTGTTGCTGTCGTTCTTCTCCCCCTTGGTGTGATGAGCTGAGCCGAGTAGCTGGGTCCCGCCCTCCCGCTGGGTCCTTCATAAGTAGATGCGCCGAAGGTCTCCGGGAGACGTGATGGTGTTACACTGGGGACAGAGCTTCTTGGCACCCTGCAACCGGCAGATGAGACGAACAGCGTGAGAGAGTGAAGGAGGACAACCCGCGTGACCCTGCCCTTGGCCTGGGATCTCACGGGGAGCAGCACGGGAGCAGGGGGAGCAAGGCCACCCCCCTTCCCCTCCAGGCAGGGCCATGCCCTCCCAACAGCAGGCACAGGCCGTGAGAAGGGGGAGCCCCAATGCCTTCCTTGACTGCCCTGCAAGACCCTCGCCCCACTCCAGTCCCTGGCACGAGGCGGCTGAGCAGGCAGGAGCTCTGCAGGAGGCTGAAACCCAGAGCCAAGACACATCACCAAGCTCACCGGCTCCGGGGAGAGGAGTCTCTGCAGACGGATTGGCCTGAGCCCCCGTCCCACCGCACTGTTGTCGCTGGCTGCCAGGCAGATCTGCTCCTTTCTGCTTCCCTTGCTCACCTGCAGCCCCCGATGAGCCAGTTCAGGTCACCGAGCAGGCAGAAAACCAACCCAGCCAGAACAAGTGCAGTTTTCAGCCGGGATGACCGAACCAATTCATGGTGGGGTTGGGCCATCCCTTCCAGGGCAGCACGCTGGGGGACTGCCGCGGCCATCCTGCGAAAGCCGCAGAGCTGCTGGCACGAAGGAAACCCCCGTCCTGTCCTCCCCCAGCTCGCAGAGATGCTGTGGAGACGAGTCTATTCTGCCAAGGTGAGCTGAAACCGGTAAACTGTGAACTGGGGAGAGGTAATGGGCGGCCGACATGAAATAAAACAAGGGCTGATGTGCCATCTGTTACCAAGCCTGACAGCAAGAAGGTGTTAATAAGCCTCAGAATCGGGGTCAACCTAAGTCGGTCATCATTAGATTGGCAGATGTGACAGACAGTTGATGGGGAAAAATGACAGAAAGATGGCTCTGCGTGAGGCAGCCTCCCGTCTACAGCAGCAGCAGTGCAGGAGATCGGGATGCCCTGGCTTTCAACACCGACCGCAGCCTAAACATAACCTCCCGCTGCACAGAACTGAGCACAGACTCTGTTCGAGCACCCCAAGTTTTGCTCGCTGCTGTCAGACAGGCCCTTCCAGCAGCTAATGCCCAGTGCTCGGCACGACAAGCGAGCTGACAGGGATGCGACGTGCCATGTGAGAGCCTGCCGGCTTGCACAGGGCTTGCTGGTGGAACTGAAGCCGTTCAGTTCAGTGATGTCGCTGCTCTCCCTTAGCAGGGCTTGTTTCAGTACCTGCAGCAGTGAGTGTGGCAGCTTGCAGGACATGGACTGAGCAGCAGGGCAGGACCGTGACCTGCCACACTACTTCAGTACTGCTGCCTGCATTTGGGGACATCCCTAGCTGTGATGGATGTGCTGTGATCCCTAGCACTAAATCAGGATTCGTGACACTAGCAGAGGAGCTGGCACTGCTGCTTACAAAAGGGAAGCGTCCTTTCTGCTCTGTGACAGCACCTGCAGAGAGAGGACAGGGGCTTTCTCCCCTGGAAGCTCCCCGGACTAAGGAGAATCTGGAGGAGGGAGTCCCAGGTACATGGGTGCAAGAAATTCACAGGGATGTCGCTCCAAAGAGGTGCAAGTCATGCTTGCTCTGCAGTCGTGAGTACCACTGAAAAGCCCCTACAGGCCAGCCTCGAACCAGCCCCCTCCCTGTTCCCAGTGCACATTATTGCTGGCAGACGTGGACTTTGCACGCTTGCCGTTCCCTGAGCTTTGGACTTCTGAGCAATCAGGCTCCCATTAGATACCCCTCGCTGCTAGTGGCTGAGCTGCTGCCCCGACACATGTAGGAATCACAGGCACTTGCACCTGAGATCAAAAACAGCCAGACAGAAAGTCCTGTGGAACTAGAGTTGAATGAAACACATAATGGGCACACAAGATGCCTTGGTCATCACTCTCAGGGTGAGTGACAGTCTGGCAGTGGCACAGACCACTGGTGGTCTGGATGGTGCATCTAGTTCTGGTGCTGATGCCTGTGGGCACGTCCTTCTAGCTGCCTGGGGCTTGACTTATCCCCTCCCTAACTACCGTGTCTGTTTAGATTTTCAGTGTTCTGGGGCAGGGACCATCTCACTGTGCCTGTGCAACGCATCGAGCAGCCCCACGCACCAGTCTTCACAGAGGGGACTTGGCATGCTGGATTCCGGGAAGCACAAGCACAACCACAACTGGAAGGAAAGGCTTAAAACCTTGATGAAATCAAGGAGTGAGTGCACTGGACTTTAACAGAGCCTGTTTATACAACATGCTTCTTCGCTTGTGCTCAAGACCAGAGCTTTGGATCTCCAGCATTAGAAAGGGGCAAGCTCTAACCTTGCATGTCCCAGTAAAAACTTCCTGCAGCAGCTACGACAGGTAGGAGAGAAAAATCTAAACATCTGCCCCTTCTGCCACCTTTAAAGCCATTGTGGGATGGGCTACATAGCAGCACTGCGAAGGAGTGGCTCACTAATCTGGATGCAAATGCCACAAAACAGCCTGTTTCAATTGAGTTCCCGCTCAGGCCTGCATTGCCATGTAGCTCCTTGGTCCTCAGAGGCTCCTGTTGCATCTGGTTGGCCTCTTGGCATCGTCTCTGTAGCTGTAGGGTCCCAGGGGAAGCAGCATAGAGGTGCTGAGGAATTAATTCACAGCATGTTGTCAAAGGGGCAGCAGTTGGCAGCTGCCCGTTCGAGCTTTCCTGTGTGCCCTGACAAGCAGAAGTAAGTGTGCATGGGGACTTTAAGGCATTGCAGATGCGACTACTGCACACATCTGTGTCCATGCTGTCCTTCCCAAGACAGGCACAGCTTATTGGCAAGAGGCAGCAAAGCATCCAACCAAGTAGCTGGAGCTTCTGCCTCTCTGGACAATGCACCAGGCAGAGGTACCTTCTGCAGGACCAGTTTCCTGACCCATCAAATGCCTCAGCCTGCCTTCAGTCTGGGGCAAAGAATGAAGGAAAGTGCTTGCTGCCACGTAAAACCATGCCCCCCTATTCCTTAAGTGCTCCTGTGCAAAGCCAAAAGCACTTCAGCAGTTATTTTCCTTTAGCTCTGCTGAAGTTGGAGATGTTTGGCTGTAGGTGAGTGGGGAGGAGCACTGAAGCCCCTTGAGTTCATTTTTACTAAAGGCAAATCTCAGTTGCTGCCACCTCGCTGTCTTGTATCTCGTGCTCTGTTCTGGGATTTGGAGGTGGACTGAGACAGCTGCAGGCAATGTGTGTGACCCGCAGCGAGGGCAACCTCGCTAACACAGACTAGACAGCTCAATATGGGTCATTTCGGAAGGACAGATTCCTGGAAAGCCACCCTGCCCAGGTCTCTCCAAAGGCTGTGCAGGTGCTCACTATAAGCACAAGTCCTCCGCACTCAGCCCACAGGATGGCAGAACAAGCTTGATTGATTAAACCGACTGCAGCTTTGCTCCTCTCTTCCGTGGCAAAGCAAGGTCAGGTATGCAATTCCTTTATACCACAGGGAAAGGGAAGATGAGTGCATTTATCCTGCCGGACACCAGGATCTCTGTCCTGGAGATCTGCTTTCTGCACCACATGCTGATGGCTTTAGGGGGATCCACTCTCCCCACCTAAGGCTGAGAGCTGCACATGGGCAGCCAGGGCCCAGTTTTCGACCATACCGGAAGGCAGAACCCAATCACATGTAGCTTGACCCATTTTCTGCAAAAGCTACATGACTGCAGATTGATTTAGGGCAGTGGTGGATGTTGCTTCACCTGCACGTGGGAAGGGCAGCTCATCTTGAGCTCTGAAGCCCAGGTACGCTGCGGGGAACAACGGCATCCTAGGGACCTTCAGCAGTCTGGCCTGAATGCTGCGCAGGCTGAGTGCACGTGGCACGCCGGGCCCAGGTCTCTGGGTCTCCCTAGTACTTATGCTTGGTATTAAACAGTTCAAGCAAAAATAATGACTTTGGACCCTTGGGGAAGCCTTTTTCTTTTTTCTTTTTTAAATAAAACTGTCATCCTCTGCACACATAAGCATGTGTGTTATATTCAGAACTAAGTCCTGATTTTTTCTTTTTAGATTGAAATTGCTTAGAACCTTGTTCCTTACATCTGACTTTTTGGTGTAGGTGTACAACATTTATTGGCACTAGCATTTAAGCTCTCCTCTCTTGTAGAGAGGCACATAAGCTTGTACACACACACATGCTGGCACAGGCACAATGAAAAAGCATTTGCTCCCCCACTGCTCACCTGCCAGCTGGGGTTACTAAACTTTTCCCTTGAAATAAAAATGCTGTGGAATAATAAGTCCCACCTGTCAGCCATTTCTTTTTTCTTTTTTTTTTTTTTTTTTTTTTTTTTTTTTTTTTTTTTTTTCCCAGGTCCTTCTGCTCCTTTCATCATAACTTCATGGAAAAGCCTTGATGTGTTATAGCTGCGTGTGCTAGAGTAAAGGCCACCTCAGCTTTTCCATTATAAACCCCAGTTTTGAGGGGTTTATAAAACTCTGCTGCAAGAAGTTTGCTCCAGGGCTGTTACAAAGCAAAGAAAAGAGGCTGGAACCAGGATGGAGTTTATTTTTTCTCCTCCTTTCTTAATTAAAATTTGGCAAGTGATTGATCCACAATAGAGGCTAATCACTTGGGGTAGTAGTTTGAAAAATACATTAACGAGAGCTGAGATGTTGAGAAGTCGTTAGGGCTCACATGGTGCCAGGAAGGATTGGAGTATTTTGTCTTAAAGTTACCTCTTAAAAAAAAAAAAAGGCATGATGTCTGCTATAAATTGGCTAAAGCAAGAAAACTCAAAAGGAAGGATTTAGGCACTTCCTGCTGTCCTGTGGGTCTAAAAATGGGCAATTTCCAAGCAGAATATGCTACCAGGCACAGAGAATAAAGAGACACACACAGAGAGCAACTTTACCTACACAGTGCCACCATCAAACCTGGGCTCCAAGCTTGCCTATTTTATAGGAAGGAAAACCAAGGCAGAGAGATGACAGGAGGGGCCCAAACCAAGAGCCAGTTTCTGCCAGGAGAGGAATCGAACTCCCAAGATCCAATTCTCAGCCAAGGCGACAGCCCCCTCTCCCCACGCCTGCTGCCTGAAGCGGCAGCTTCTTCTCTGCAAATGCTAATTCCCAGAGAAGCAGCCGTTCACCACTGCCGTTGTGGGGTACCTCCAGTTGTCAGGTAATGGGGTTAAAGCAATCAGAAGAGAAACCTTTTTCACAGAGCCTCCTCAAAGGGTGGAGCTCACCCCCACAAGTTGTTGGAGGCCAAAACTGAAATATGTTAATAAATAACCGGACAACCTCATGGCAGATAGGAACATCATGAAAGATCCAGTGCAGCATCCTCCAGGCAGCTGCTGACTCAGGAGGCCCCTATGTTGCTGGAAGCACTAAGGAACCACCCAGAAGGATTGCTATCTGCGCTGTTTCTTACACAAATACTCCAGCCTGCATTGGACATATGGTATTACAGCCTAGAAAAAGCGACAAGGCTAAGAATGTAGTAGTGTAATCTACCAAAGATATAAATACGTCAACTGCAGAGCATACATATCTATTGATGGATCCGCTGGAAGCATGTTCTGTGATGAAGAAGGCTTTTTAGAAGTGATTTTTTCCTGCTCGTGCAGTTGTCATTTTCAAATAAGCCGAAGACAGGCAAGTACAAGCCTGGGGTCAGCAAATACACATAGGAAATGCTGAATCTGGCTGTACAGGTGATGGGGGAAACTCAGCAAACTGCACCTGCTCAAATAAACCTGTGCTCTTTCAGGCCGTGCACGCCTGCACCCACCAACAGCTCCATCACTGGCAAACAACAACCTGACTTAGCTTTTAACTCGATTTACTTCATAAGGAAGGATACCAGGGTTTGGGAGATCACAGAACCACAGCTCAGAGGGACGTCAAGAACTCACCGACCCATTCCCCCAGCAACATCTCCTCAACCTGAATTTCTGCTGATGGACACGCATCAAACCTGTTCTCACAAACCTCCAAGGATGGAGGCTCCAAACCTCTCCAGCAAAGCACTGCAGCAGACTGCCAATCTTTACTGTCAGAGCACTCTTCCCAGGAGAAGGAAAACATGAATCTCACCCACTAGTAGCTGTAGGGTCCCTCTCGGTTAATGGGGAAGGACAGAGAAGGGGCAGGAAAACCTCTTCTAGAGGGAGATTCATCCCCCATCACCCAGTGACTCAGGGCTGCAGTCCAACAACCAGTTGAGGACGGACACCTGCCACGAGGACGCTCGACGTTCAGGGAAATGAACCCCACCACCTGCTGTCCAGGCTAAGCCTCCCTCCTGCAACACCATTTCCCCTCCTGTCTTTGAAGAACCTGCACGTGTTTTCAGCGGTTTCCAAAAGGGATCACAGGGAAGTCACTCCAGGCTAGTGTCCTAGTTCCTGCGTAACTTGAAAATATCAACTAGCTCTCTGGGTGGATGGATGGATGGATGGATGAATGAAAAATGTCACGGTGTTAAGCACCCCAGACAACCAGCAAGTAGGGAGCAGCAAGCTCATTGGTCTGGTTTGACACAGCAATACAAAACCAGCAGACAAACCCAGCTGACAAAACAGCTAATATGATTTTCTGGGAAACCAGGCATGATCACATGGCATCAAGCAACATGTTCTTGTATCCCTCTCCCTGTCTCCATTCCTGTTGTGCCTACAACCACAGAGCTGCCCACAGCGTATGCAGCATACAGCACAACTTTCGCCTCTGGCCCCTGGACCACAGCCCTCAGGCAGACCGGTTCTGCTCACAGAGCAAGTGGAAGGAGAGAAAACCACTCAACTCATCATGTCCTGATGCTGAGAGAAGGGACGGTGCCTCCCTTTCTCCATGGCCACCCTGAGGAGGACCGCCTAACCAAGCAGCTTCTATTGGCACTGAGGTGCTGGGTAACTCAGCGAGCACCACGATCTAGGTTCTCTTAAGCCATCTCCAGGGTCCCTTTCTGCAACCCCAGCCTTTCCTTCATGTTACTCCAACACAGCAACAGCAGATAGAGATGGAGTCTGCTCCGGCGGATGTTTCATCCCCAGAACTTGGAGCCAGTTTGATGCATTGAGCTCTAGTATAATGGTACCTAAGCAAGAGAGCCCAGCAGCCTTTTGGAGAGTTGGTTAAAAAATGACTCCCCCTCTCCCTTAGCCACAGAAGAATTGTAATTTGAAATTGGACATCAAGAGCCAAAAGTCCAAAAATTATATTTTCAGAAAGCCTAAGTGCTTCTTTAAAGATTCAATCCTCATCAGTGCCCTAGACACCATGGAAGTCAGAGGATACTAGAGATGCTCAGATCCTTGTAGCATCATATCCTAGAAAATGTTGAAACCTTAAACCTTTTAAAAACCACTTCACCTCCTCTGGTCCATAGACAGACGTAAGCACCAAATTTCACCCCATCTTCAATACCCTGCAGAGGTTTAGAAGTGCTCCCAGGCACTCCGAGCCTTCAGTTCCAAGGCCTTGTTCAGTACAGGGTCCTCCCTCTCTCTCTCGCAAACACACTCACACTCTAATTTAATATTAGATCTCGGCTGGGCATATAAACCACAGGCGCACAGGAGAAAGGGGACTTTTCACCAGCAGGGATGGCAGATCTCCAGAATGTTCAAAAGGGGCCGGAAGCCCGACACGACTCGCCCGCCCCAACTCCTACTAACTCCAACAAATTGTTTATTGCACAACAGAAGAAAAATGTTGCCCCTCTCCCCCAGCCAAGTCTTTCCATGTGTGCTGCACGCGCAGGCTCCCTCCTCCTGCCCCCGCCGGGGAGCCAGCTTTATACCCAGGGAAAGGTAACAGCAGCGATTATTACACACACTATCCCACAGCTCCTCGCTTGTTAAAAAAAACAAGAGTCTCTTTTGTGCCCGAAATAAAAGGAGATACCTTAATTAGAACAATGCAGGTTGGTGAGCATTAAACACTGAGCCCAGCTGCTGTATGCCATTAAATTCATAAAAAAGGAGGGGGGAAGGAGGGCAGTCTTAACGAGATTACACACATTGACTTTGATCAAGACACAAAAGCACCAAGGCGTTCCAGGGTTTTTATTGCTGTCTTCGGGCTACATTTTAATGGTTACATTAGAAACATGCGAACACAGGCTGGGAGATTTTTTTTGAGACGGGAGAGGGAGTGCAAGCATGCCTTGTGAAAAGGCCTGGTTTAATAAATTGGGGGCTGCAGGGAGAGGCTAGGACTGGGGAACACATGAGCAGCCACTTATTAATTGCTTCCCCTATGCAAGTGCCAAGTCCTAATACGATGTCTTGCTGGACTACTCCCATCCCGCCTGCCTGGTCGGCAGAAGAGTGTGTGGATAGCACACAGCCAGCTTGATCCCCACCTTCCTCACGGTTACCTAGAGGGGAGATGGCTCCCCCTCTGCAAGGCTAAATGCTAACCCCTGAGCACCTGGAGTGGGATTTCCCAGTCCTTATGAGCAGCCGTGACCGCTGCATGTGAAACAAAGGGGCCTGACTGAAGTTGAACTAAGTTGCTGCTGAGCCTAAGAACAGCCTGAAATCGGTGCCACAGATTTAGAAGATGACTTGAGTCTGCTGGGAAGAGGAGAGGACAAAGACTTCAGAGTAAAGAAAATGAAAAAGAAATTATGTGTTTTATCCTCCGCTTGTCACACCGCTGAAGGACAAGATTACACTTAGCAAAGGTGGCAGAGCACACATTCATCCAAACATCTCACAGCTACATACCCACATATGTGTCTTTTATAACACACTGCTAAAATGTTTACAAAAGCTTGTATAATCTAAATAGTGACGGGGTGTAGCTGAAAAGCTATAAAATACAGCCCGAGGAATAGCCAAGTTATTGAGTTGCTATTAGCACTCAAGCCCACAGGCACTTTACCGTCCTGGTAACTTTTCTTGGACAAGACTTTTAAAAGGCAGGATTTAAAGGAGCATGATCGGCTTAATCGTAATTCCAAGCACACAACGTGTTCTATAAAGTAGATTTTGCAATGCCTTACAGGAACAGTTTTCAGGAGTGGCATTCCCTTATGTTTTTTGCAACCCAACACTGTATCATCTTGCTAGCAAGAGAACTAGAAAGCACAACTGACTATTTTCCACTCCCCAACCTGAATGAAATGAAAGCTTGAAAATCAGCTGCACGGGGGAAATGAAAGGCTGATTATAAAGCCCACAGCTTTAACAAAGGAAAGGAAAACACCTTACTTAATAACACCTTGAATTTTAACCTGATGTCCTTTAATACATGTATAAATTACTACTGCATTGGGTCACCTATGCAATATTCAAGGTAGTCCCAAATTTTCCAAACAGAATGGCATATGCTTGAAAATGGCACAGTGCTATTTCAAATAATCTGAAATAGATTCATATTCATAAAAGCCCCCTTCCATATCATCTATCCTGAAGATGATTCCCTTTGCTTCAGGGGAATATTAGGTTTCTCAGAAGCTACCCATTCCATGAATCTCAGTGGATTTGGCCTCCACTCTCACAGTTTTACCTCTCTGCACGGGTGCCCCACAGGAAATTACTGTAAGGCAAGGTTGTCTGCGGCACAGAGCTCTTGCATGAGCAATGGCTGTCCCCACAGCAGCAGAGGAGCAAGCAAGGGGCAGGACTGCACTTTGGTCACGATGACTCAAACGAAACTCACTCAAGTCAAAGCTAGAGTGGGGTGTTAAACAGCAAGGCTTAGGAAGTCTGCATGCACAGCACTCACATTACTTAAAATAAAGCAAAAAGCACCTTTCCCGTGGTGATTTAAATAAAAGTAGCCCAGAAGAGAGGAAAAAGTCTGTAAGTCAACAAGAAAGTAGCCAAGAGCCTCACCAGAGTCCGCAGCCAGCATTCTTCACAGTGCACATGCCAGCACTGAATGGAAGTCAGGGGCATTGTGTACGAGTCCTGAGGAGAAGAAGCAAACAGGTTATTTCCACAGCAGGGATCTACTGATTCTTTGCTCCCAACCCCATCACAACACCTTTCTTTGTGGGTAACATTGCCTTGTACTTTGTATTAAGAAAAAATAAGCTTGTGTAATACGTAAGTTTGTATTTTTGTAATGTTTGTGTAGTAGAGTCAGAAAGTCTCCTGCAGTCCATTTTTCTGGCTTCCCAGAACTCCTGTTGGAAGCCCATAATCCACTCAAGTAGTGACCTGGCTCAGCATAGTTATCGCAAGAGCATCTGAAGTTGCTGTGGCCACCTGCCATTATTCCCATCAGAAAGGTCACCAGATCATACAAAAACCAGTGACAGGGTAAGATTAACCCTTATCACAATGCTTAGCTCTGCAGGAACAGCTTAACTACATCCCAAGAATGCTGCTGCTATTTCAGCAGACATGCCTTCTCTTCAGTATTTTCCATCATTGCTAATAAACCTCTGGAAATCAGCAGCAAGCTTTTGTCCCTTTTGTGGGATGAGAGATGGGGACTGCACCCCCACGCCTACAAGTTGTGAGCGAGGAGAGAGAGCACCACGAATCAAGCAGAAGTTGCAGAGGGAGCCCTTCGCCAAGCAGAGTTTTCCCCCACTATCATCAGAATAAAAACCTAACGGGAGATGCAAAGCTTTGCAGGCTCAGACCATCAGAGGGAGCTGCTGCCCTTCTTTAAGGCCACAGCATCACCACAGAGCAAGCAGGACATCGACAACTTTTAAATGCTCAGGCAACGTTCCTGTTCCCAAATCATACGGTGGGTCTCAGATCGCACATTTTGCTCTCTCCTATGTATGCAAATCTACACATGCAGGAAGAGGATGTTGGTATCTGGGAGTTTTCTATAGGAAGGCTGAAAGTCTTCCGAAGCTGGGGCTTTCTTGCCCCTGATACAGATAGACAGCTACAAATACCAGTGGAACAATGTAATGCATATAGAAATTTCAATTGCTAAAAAGACCTAGCACCTTCATTTGGAAGGCTAATTGGTGTATAGGGACAAAGATGAGTTCCCCCCCTCCACCCAAAAAAGGAGAAAAACTTCTCCCCTCCTCAGCAAAGATACCAAGACATTTCTGATTCACTACCACAAGTGGAGTGCTACTCACCATGCAAATGAGACATTTATAGCGGTCCCCACGGGAAAGCTGCCTTTCTAACTCACGGACACGAGCCTTTAACGCTTCAAACGTTGTCACTGCAGAGTCTTCTGTAATTCTGCAAAAGACGACGGAGAGTGAGCACCACTGAGCACACAAGATTGTGAAGAGTTTAGGGGAAAAAGGATCCCACAACAGGTACCGCACAGGAAATGGCAACATTCGAACTAATATATCCAACTTGGGATGAAGAGGAATTCCTGAAAAGCCCAGTGTGAATTCTTTGAGGTGTCCTCCTAAACACTTCCCAACACATCATGATGGAACACAACAAGGCTGGGGTTGCCAACTTTGGACAGAGCAAGTTTCCGCGAGACACGGACATTTAAAGAACAGATTTTTGTTTGTTTTCTGCCTCTTTTCTTGTCTCCCTTAAGAGATTCCTTAAGACCAAATGCTTTGGACAAAGTTCTGTACATTGCTCTAAAGCTGGTGAGGTAACTTTCTTTGGGCAACAGGAGCTGCTCTTCCCCTTAGAGAATGGAGGTCTTTGCTGGCCATCAACCTTGTGAAACACAAAATCAGCTCATTACACAGGTCAACGCAATGCTTTTATATTAAAGAAACTCCTAGCTTTTTGGGTTCTAATACTGAAAACAAGGAGAAACCAAAAGCAATGGACACTGTGCCAACAGGGTGGCTATAAAAGCGGCTTTATGACCTCTGCTTTCCCATTTCCTAGGGTCATTTTTGATGGGCAGCATTATCTCTTTTGTCACAGAGGCGCTGCGCTGAGGGCAGGCAAGTGTATTTTCATGGTTCTGCGAGGCTGGTGAAAAGAGCAACTTGCCAACCTAAAAGCAAGGGCAGACAGCAATGCTTAGCAAATGAGATGCAGGGAGCATTATAGACAAGGATGCGTCACTCCAGCATGCTGCAAAATCAGATTTCTACACAGTGCAGACATAGGGAGGGGCCCTCAAGCACTCCACAGGAAAGGTTTAGAGTATTGCATTAAGACTTTTGCTCTTGCGAAAACCCAAAAGAAAATAGCAATTTTCATGTATGTCCGTGAATTTCAGGCCTGTCCAAGCAGACTCCAGCTCAGAAGAACCTGAAGAGTACCTCGCCACCAGAAGCTGCACCGATCACAACATAACCCACAGGGGCACCTACATGTTCTGCCTTTTTAGAGGATGATTCATCAACAGGTGGCTAAAACATGGGTCTAGTGGAATTACTACAACCAATAAAGCGAGCTGCGATGTCAGCACTCCTGCTGCACGCACACACTCGCTCCTTTGTTCGTTAGTCACTTGTCGCCGCCATGCAGGCAGGGACCTGAGGTATCTCCCACGAGGTGATTCTGCTGGCTTTTCTCAAGGCTCTGGAAACAGAGCTAGTCGAAAAGATCTTGAGTGATTTTTCTAATTGTGACACTTCAGAAGAAACTGGAGCTGCAGGAGTGCATATGGTTAAGTACCAGTGTTATAAAGCTCCTCCAGCTTTGCTCCTACCTTTGTACAGATCAGACACTCTCTGCACGAGCTAACCAAGGAGAGTCCTTCATCAGAAGGAGATTCACTGCAAATGACAGTTGCAAGGAAATAGTAACATTTTTAAAACTGCAAAAAAGGCAAAGAAATATACGTCCCGTGATAGCCTAGTGGGTGAGGACTGCCTGGGGACAGGGACACTGTGGATTCAAGTCTTGGTATCAATAAATATTCTTTAGAGCAAAATGAAAGAGCTTCAGTAGGAGACAGCGCTCCCTGCCGTGAAACGCCCACTTGTTCCTACTCATTGGTATAAATTATTACCATCTTCCAGTTTGGGTTCTCACTCTCAAGGAAGAGTTGTTAGTGTTTTCAAAGAAAGTCTAGAAAGGTGTCAGTTTTGTCCAAGGAAGAAACAGAATTATTTATTTATAGCTTGAAGATTATTGTTGGGTGAGAAAATTGTTTCCCTTCCAGTCTGGCCCATCAAGAAGCTGATGCTGGATGAAGGCTGCAGTTGAATTTGACTTTCTGTAATCCATTTCTCCTTCCTGTGTGCACGAGGGCACTAGAGTTTTAAAAGGCAGTGAGTGTGGCTCCTGCCCAAAGCGAGTGGCAAGCAGAACCTCAACCCTTGCGGAATTCTCCTACTACTATCCATGGAGCTATCCGTTCTCCTCTGAAGGGCAGGCGACTCAGCAAGGAAGAGTGGAATCTTTGAGCAGATCCAAGCAAAGGCCAACTCGTCCCCAGTCCCAGCCCAATAACAGTCAAAGCTTGAAAAGGAAAAATTTGCCTCTGCAACAACTAGAGGAGATAGAAAATGGCTTGTTTATAGAAGTCTAAATGGCTGACCCCCATCAGCCAATTTTAGAAAGTCTCTGAGATAATCGCACCTGTCCAGTAATAAACGAATGAATCAGAAAAGGAGGCTGAATAGAGGTATAAGCAATAATGCTCAGAGGCTGCCTGATACAATGGCCAATCAATAGGAGGGCTGTAGATCAGGGTGCTAGTTAGCTGGAAAATTACCGCACCGCTGCGTGCGTCACGCTGTAGGGATCCTGGACAATCAATGTGGGAGGTATTGATTTAGTTATTATCACTTCATACGCTCCAGACATTGTTAAATATACATTTATTAACAAGACTGGGGTGCATTGGTAAGAGAGGGCGCTTTAGCCACTGCAATATCTCCCAGCGCTGATCAAAGCTCAGCTGTGACAGACTTTAAACTCCATGTTCTCCCTGCCAAGCGTGCTGTCAGGACAAATCCTGGCGCACAGCATAGTGCCAAAGACGCAGCTCTTATCTCACAGGAGAGAGATTTTGGCCACAAATGAGTATTTTGCACTTGAGATTTCAGGAAAGCCTCCCAGAGCAGCAGCAACCAGGGACGTGGCGGCCAAGGGTCAACCTGAAGTGAGCGATAATTGCATGGTTGCTTCCGAAAAGCCGGAGGAAATGAGGTCAAGGGAAATAGGGAGAACATTAGTAAATAAAGGAAACTGGAACTACCTCCAGGGATGGAATAAAGACGAGAGTCACTTCCCATGTGTCTGGCTCCCGTGGTGTCCAGCACACTTGGGACACATGCCATTCCATTTAGTGACATTTTACCGTCAACCTGCTGCTTGTATCCTAAAGATAAGCATCGCTTAGGAGCAACTCTTCCTGCAGCAGCAATCTCGGGAACTCCCTCAGGCTTCCCTCTTGCGTGCACACCTCGTGCGCGCTTGCCTGGACACAGCTGGGAGCAGCCCATGCAGTATTTTTACAGGGTAATGCTGGGGTGGAGTGAGGGTCAGAAAGCCAAGCTCCATGGACAGGGTAAGGTTGTGTACAAGTTACCCTGCCAAGGAAGGCAGAGGGAATTACAGAGAAGAAGGAATTGGCTTCCACAGCCCTGCTCTCCCCGCTTTGCCTTGACCTCATGCTGGGTGTGGGAGGACTCTTTTAACAATTTTGCGCCTCAGCGCTCTGATTTGACGTGTTTGGATAACGTCATTTATCAGCCTCCAGAGAGACCTGCTGAGCACAACTGCTGCCAAGAGCAATGCCTCAAGCTCCAGCAGTGGTGCTTCTCCAGCCACGCAGGTTGTCAGCAGCCTCGCTGATACCTGCGTTGTCCTCCCTGGCTGAGGACGCATCAAGAGGGCACATCCGCGCTCTACTCACTGTGGACCTACATCACCGCAAACAGGGGAGCCTGAGCAAGAACGTTTATACAAGAGCAAAGACACGAAGGGAGGGCTCCTTGCAGAGGAAGCTTGGTCCTGCGCTTCTCCCTGGACTTTGTGGACAACTCTTCAACGACTTGGCAGTCGCAGTTAAGGATGCTGGGTGCGAGGGAGCAAGTCTATGAGACCTGGCAGACAGCACGTGATAGTTTTCGGCCTTTGTGCCCAACACGTGCTTTTCTACTGTTCATAGCATTTTGCCCTCAGCACTAAAAATAAGAACCGACTTTCTTCCTTTGAGCAAATCCTTGCTTTGTTCAGGTAAAAGGCCAGCAGAAGGACATAAAAATACCATGTAAAAGGAAAAAGGACCTATCTGTAGTGTTGAGCTGTTACTCAGCAATCACCTCCTGGGAAATCTCCCCTGGGAATCGGCTGCCCCTCGCCTTTGCAAAAAAACTTTAACCCAAACGCTGGTTATTTGTCAAACATTAGCATGCATGTGATCTTTGTTTCTCCAAATTAAATCGAGCAATTCCTACTCGCTGTCCCAGTGGGCAATCACAAGCAATTCCGTTAATTAAATTATCTCTGATTCTGCAGCTCTGGAATCTCTCAATTGACTAAGTCTGTGCTTTATCATCAACAAAATACTGGACCAAAAAGGAAACAAAAAATGCTGATGTCAAAGTGATTGGCTTCAGTTAACCCTTCCCAGCTGCATATTAAGGGCTGTTCAAGAAACTGCTAGACTGGAACAGGCCCAAGAGCAAGAGCCTCGTACCAGATATACCAGCAGCAGCTGTTCACTTGTGCTTCCTTTCCATGGTACAGAAAAAAAAAAATACATCACTGCATCCAGCATCCTGCCTATTTCAGAGCCACAGAAAAATGCAAACTATTAGCTGCTGAAGAGGCAGAAAACCACCTCAAAGATCAGTCAACGCCTGCGAATACCCATTCCTCCCCTTACCCAGATCTCACTTCATGTACCCCGCTGTAGAGGAGTCTTCATAAAACATTCCCCTTTGGTTTGTTTCAACTGGATATAAATTTTCCTTTCTTCATAAACGGCCACACTGTACACAGCATTCCATAAATTTTTACAATTCCACTGTTTGTATGTACCCTGTAAAAAATGCTTAGCACTGATTAAATGCACCACCAATAAAATTTCATGGGCTACTTTTGACACTTGATATTCTGACCTTCCTCTCTCTTCTTCATACATTTATTTTTGGTTTTGTATGCCTGTAAACAGAGAGTGGCAGAGGGGAAAATGTACAGTACCACTGACAAACCCAAGAGTGATGTCTTTATTTTTAAACAAAGCCTTTATCTTCCCTTGTCTGAGGTGGAGAACCTGGTCCCAGCAGAACATACATGCCATTTCCCCGCACCAGGGGCAGAGGTCAGGTCGCTAGCAGCTTACATATCATAAA